AAATTGAATCATTGAAGCAATTTCTGAAGAACTCAATGAGGTATCATGTCATTAGTCTGTATTTTAAGTAAGATTATAGTAAGATTAATATAATTTATCATTCAGACTTTTTACCATGTTAACCTTTTCTTCAATTAGTCCGAAAGTTGAGCGTTAATGGGTGATATAATATTTTAAAAATTAACTATACTGAACATATGTAATAAATTAATAATAGGTGGATATTCAGTATTAGCCTGAGGATATGGAGTTTTTCAATAGTTAAGATGAAGCAAAATATTTATACATTAAGTTTAGAACACTTTACTAAATCAAGTCATTTTCTCACCTCACCTAGGTTTTCCTGGTTCTTTGCTTACAGCATAGCAGTTTTTATATTGAACACCAATTCAAACTAATAATAAAGATATGGTTATTATATTTTTTGAACCATAACCTCTATTGATAGTGATAATGGAACAAAACATTTGAAATTGCCCCTGACCTAAGAAAAAATAATCTAAGCCATAAGTTGTTATGTATATCTTGTCATACATGTGACATACTTTCTCTCAATCTCTTTCAACAGCAAAACCGTTTTAAAAATATATACCATATTTAGAGAAGTCTAATAGATTTAAGAAAAGACATTGTATAATAATAGTTAATATTACCCAAGAGTTCTTTAGCAAGAATTAGTGTTTCACTGTACTAGGCACTTTTGTTGATTAAAAAGTACAATAAATTATAATTCTACTCTTAAAGAGAGTGTAATATAATATAATTTAATAGATGTGAGCTATCAACATGAGGCAGTACAAGAAGTCATGACATTTCAGAAGACGGAATTGCTGAGGACTGTTAGATGAAGGAGTCAATGTGTGTAAAGTGCTGGTTGTGGCTGTAATCTTGACTTAGTGCTTGTTATGTCACATGCTAGTTATGTGACCTTGGCTAAATATCCTGAGACAAGGTTCTCAAAATAAAGATAGTTACCTGACAACCCCACCAAACCACTGGGAAGATTTATCTTACACTTTCAGCTTTTCCCCACTAAATTCTCTTTTTTTTCCTTCAGTTTTCTGTGATATATTTTCTAGAATTCCATCCTCAACCATTTTATTTTTTTAATTCTGTAAAGTCGCAGAGAAACTGCCTGCATTTCTAAAGACCACTTAGACCCCATGTCTTAAAACTGAATCGATAATCAGATTTATTTGAGAGTGTGTTTAAGATGATAGTAGTTGTAATTTTCATACCTATAACTTCAATTACCAGTATATTTAAATTAGGAAAGTAAAAAATATATGGCCATGTTTTCATTTTCAAAAAAGTAACACTCTAGTACCAGGCTGCTGGAACAATTAGAGGGAGAAGGAATGGAAAATTTAGGCAAAGTTTATGAAGATCTGAGCATGTAAGGTAGGGCCAGGTTAAAGGGGTATGTATTTAAGAGAAAGGTTGGCACATCCCCCTGCCCTGGCGTTTTGGACTATAGAAGCATTGGGATAATCTGATCTTTGGAGATTTGCTAAAATTTCTTGTGAAATCATTTTGGTCTTGTGCTTTTAGTGGGCTTGTGTTTTGATAAACTATCTCAGTTTCTTCTATGGAAATTGGTTTGTTCCACATTTTATATCTATTAGGGTCAATTTTCGGAACACATCTATTTTATTGAGGTTTTACATTTTATTTGCACCGAGTTGTGCTATGCAATTTCTTATGATTTTAAAAAATTTCCTGTTTTTATGGGTTTTGTTGTCCTTTCTTATTTTGTATATTCGTGCTTCTTTCTTTTTTCCTTGATTAATTAGCTAGTAGATTCTGTATTTTGTTAATTTTTCCCAAAGAACTAGCATTTTATTCAGTTATTCCACTTTTTTCTGTTTATAACTCATTTTTTGCCATTATTTTAATATTCCCTTCTTTCTTTATTCCATTTATTTTTAACTGTTTCCAAGTTAAATGTTATATTACTCATGAAGAGTTGATATCTTTGTGATATTAAATAAATTCTATTCAAGAATGTATTTCTATTAATTCAGGTGGCTATTTATTTATTTTTATTCTTTAACTTTTTATTTGTAACCATTTAAGGCTATGGTTTTTTCCATGTGATCTTTGCTTTAATTGTATCTCATTGATTCTGATATACATTTTTTTATTACCGTAATTTTTATAAATCTGAGTTTTCAGTTCCCCTTTGGTTCCAATTGTTTAATAGAGAGTTCTTTAACTTTAGGAAGGGCTATTCATATTTTGATTTTGTTATTAATTTTTATATTTTTAATATGAAAGAATGACCTTTTTATCATTTCTACTTTATGAAGCTCATTGAGATTTTCTTGGGATCATAATATACAGTCTGTCTTCGTGAATTTTTGTATTATTAGAAAGTATGTATATTTTCTATTTTTGCATGCAGAGTCTGTAATATATTCCTAAATTTACTTTATTGGTTATGTTGTTTAGGGTCTCTCTTTTTTTATTTTTTGTACACTTGACCTGTCTTGGACTGACAGTAATATATTAAAGTTGTGTATTATTGTGTGATTCTGGTTATTTCTCTTTGCATCTCTTGTAGTTTCTGCTTTATGAAGTGATATTCTATGAAATTTGGTACATAAATATTCAAAACTTTATATTTCTGTTGTGATTCATGGCCTTTTGCCTAATGACATGTCATTTATTATCTTCTTTAATGCTTCAGGTACTGAATTCTAACTTGTCAGCTATTAAGATCACAACTCCTTCCTTCTTTTCATGTGCATTTTTTTTTTTTTTGGTATGTCTTGGCCCATCTCTTTATATTTAAACTTTCTGAATTACTTTGTTTTAGGGGTTTCTCTTATATCCAGCATGGAGCTGGATTTTGCTCTGTAAACTAAAGTAACTTTTTCTTTTAATATATGAGTTAAGTCCATTTGAATTCATTAATATCATTGATAGTTTTGGTCTCTGTTATCTGTATATGTATCATGTTTCCTTTTTCTTTTTTTTTTTACATTCTTTTGGTATTTAGGAAGGTTTGTATTTTTTGTTCTAGTGGTTACTTTTATAAAAGTATTTTTATATTTTTTAAAACATATAATGCCCTTAGTACCACTGTTTCTTACTTAGGCTTCTATTTAGTTTATGAGTTTCAGATGATAACCTTTGATTCTCACCTAATGCTTGTGTTGGTAGGTACATAGATAGCTTATAATTTATTCTTAATTTTTGAAATAATTTTATCTTTTTTTCACTTTCTCCCATTGTTTGATTAACTATATCTTCACATTTTGCTCGTTTATTTCTAGACTGAGTTTTAAAATTTTTATGTCTACAATTTCTTCTTTAATTATATTTAATTTATATCGAAATGTTAGTTTTCTCTGCTTTGTGATTGTCTTTATTTCTGTCTTTCTGTCTTCCTTTTGTATTTTCTGCAGCTGAAAAATTTTGATTTCTCTTTATTTTTTGATGAGAAAATTTGAGGTACAGAGAAGTTTAATGAGAAGGTTGGGTTCACACTAAGAATGGAGATTATGACCCAGGTCTTTTGACTTTCAACATGGGACCTTCCTGAACTACACTAAATTCAAAAGGACTGTCAATGAATAACAGAATTAAGTCTATAGAGAGACTAAATATACAAATGGACAATGGCCAAACCATATATATGAATAGAATTCTGACCCACTATCTGCATCAACCTGCCCAGGAAACCAATCCATTATTTACAATAAGTAGCTCAGGAAGCCAATTTGCTATAAATCAGACTTGTAGAAAGTCAGACTGCTAATTCTAGTAACAATGAAGGAAACCAAACAATACCCCTATTATAATCTACCTCAAATGACTAGGACTTGATTAATAATTAGTAACTTCCTTAATTTTCATTGATGCTTCCAAGTTAGGACTAACCAGAAAAAGTCAAATATGTACCCCTGACCAATCACATAGCATGCCCCACTTCTAGTTAGCCAGCTTACAATTTCCCCATGCCAACAACCTCCATTCAAGACATACCTGAAGCCTTATCTTTTTTTCCACTACAGAACTTTCTTACCTCTCTACCTGCTTTGAGTCTCTGCCCAAGTGCAAGTGACAGTAGCTAACTCCTTTGCTATAGCAAGCTTTGAATATATGGCCTTTGCTTGTTTTAACTTGGTTTGTCTTCATTTATATCCACACTGCTCTTACTTATA